ATGTAATCAGAGAGCACCAGTTTTCTCCATGTAATCAGAGAGCACCAGTCATCCCCATGTAATCAGAGAGCACCAGTCATCCCCATGTAATCAGAGAGCACCAGTCATCCCCATGTAATCAGAGAGCACCAGTCATCCCATGTAATCAGAGAGCACCAGTCATCCCATGTAATCAGAGAGCACCAGTCGTCCCATGTAATCAGAGAGCACCAGTCATCCCCATGTAATCAGAGAGCACCAGTCATCCCCATGTAATCAGAGAGCACCAGTCATCCCCATGTAATCAGAGAGCACCAGTCATCCCCATGTAATCAGAGAGCACCAGTCATCCCCATGTAATCAGAGAGCACCAGTCGTCCCCATGTAATCAGAGAGCACCAGTCATCTCCATGTAATCAGAGAGCACCAGTCATCCCCATGTAATCAGAGAGCACCAGTCATCCCATGTAATCAGAGAGCACCAGTCGTCCCCATGTAATCAGAGAGCACCAGTCGTCCCCATGTAATCAGAGAGCACCAGTCATCCCCATGTAATCAGAGAACTTCAGATTGCTCCACGATTTGCATCACAATAGATATTTGCATAGTTAGGTAAGATTCGTCAGGAAAAAGGATCAGTGTTTCCTGACGCGGGTTTTAGTCATATGAAGACCCGCCACTGAAACTTTTGGTCATCTGACCGAGGCCTTCCACTGGCTTACCACTCTATCCCTTTAAAAATTAATACAAATCACTCGTACAGTGGTGCTGAACGATAACGAATGAATGCATCAGCTACAGTATGTATAAATCAGCAACTTTTGGTCATAACCGAGAAGCCCGGGTTCAATCATGGGTACGTAAGTCTCTCTACAATTGTTGCAGTAAACAGGTGTATACCTGCTTATCAACATTGCATCCTGGGCAGAGCGATGTGTATCCAAGCTTCCTTACATCTATTTTCCGTCGCTCACCTAGCACTAAATAGGTACCTGGTTGATATTCGACTCTTTGGGATATTATCCAGGGATGTGGTAAGTTTTGCTGGGATTTTTAACCCGGTGTAGGGAGGGTTAGCAAGCCAGGTTAGCCTAAGAAAGTCAGTACGTCATCGAGGACTGTCTGTCTTATTTCCATTGTTGTTCTTCAATCTTGTCCCCCAGGATGCCACCCACACCAGTCGACTAACCCCCAGGTACCTACTTACTTGCTCGGTGAACAAAGACAGCAGGTGTAAAGTGACTAACACCCAGATACCTACTCACTGCTAGGTGAACAGGAACAGCAAGTGTAAGGTGACTAACACCCAGGTACCTACTTACTGCTAGGTGAACATGAACAGCAAGTGTAAGGTGACTAACACCCAGGTACCTACTTACTGCTAGGTGAACAGGAACAGCAAGTGTAATGTGACTAACACCCAGGTACCTACTTACTGCTAGGTGAACAGGAACAGCAAGTGTAAGGTGACTAACACCCAGGTACCTACTTACTGCTAGGTGAACAGGGACAACAAGTGTAAGAATACACCCTCAATATTTCCACCCGTGCCGGGGATTGAACCACTGGCACTGTACAAGGCAAGTGCGCTGCCAACACAACCACGGGACACCGTAGCTCTATAATGAACTATGGCAAGGAAAAAAAAAAACTATATATTCAACGGCATAAAAAGTGCTGCTGTATAAAAATAAATGGAAAAGTGCGTTCACGAGAAAACACTTGTTAATGTAAGTGTTCCTGCCATGATAACACCTGTAAAGTAATTGCTATTGAAAATTGCACGAGCACCTGTGTCAGTGTTCATTATCATGGCTGGGAATGTTTAGGTGATGAACCTGTGAAAGTTTTCTGCTAGTTATAACCTGCCAGTGTCATTGTATTTAATTTTATAATGAAACTGTGAATTTTCTGCTAGTTATAACCTCCCACTGTCATTATATTTCACTTATAATGAAACTGAGTTTCACCTAGTTATAACCTCCCACTGTCATTATATTTCCCTTATAATGAAACTGAGTTTCTCCTAGTTATAACCTCCCACTGTCATTATATTTCACTTATAATGAAACTGAGTTTCTCCTAGTTATAACCTCCCACTGTCATTATATTTCACTTATAATGAAACTGAGTTTCTCCTAGTTATAACCTCCCACTGTCATTATATTTCACTTTATAATGAAACTGAGTTTCACCTAGTTATAACCTCCCACTGTCATTATATTTCACTTATAATGAAACCTAGTTTCACCTAGTTATAACCTCCCACTGTCATTATATTTCACTTATAATGAAACCTAGTTTCACCTAGTTATAACCTCCCACTGTCATTATATTTCACTTATAATGAAACCTAGTTTCACCTAGTTATAACCTCCCACTGTCATTATATTTCACTTATAATGAAACCTAGTTTCACCTAGTTATAACCTCCCACTGTCATTTAGGATACAGCACCAAATAAGTGGAAACAAGAGGAGTAGATTTTAAATTTTACTGTCGAACAGTTACTAAGGAGACCTAACTGTTAATCACTTATATGTAAAATACCTGGAGTTTATCTGGAGAGGATTTCGGGGGTCAACGCCCCCCCCCCGGGGCCCGGTCTGTGACCAGACCTCTGGATGCACGAAAGAATACTCTTCTTCAGTAACATTTGGATTTTGAGTCTGTCCATATTTTTACACTGTGGGGCTGTTGTAAGGAGCCTTCCTTGGGAAGGAGGTCGGCCTGTGCAAGATTTGGGACCTTGCAAGAAAAGCTATCTTGTGAGAGACTAATCAGCTTTCAAGGCCAGCTTAAGCAAGCTTCGAAAGCTTGATGGGCTCGTCTACGCAATGTGAGGCACCTTGTGATAAAAACCAACATGTAAAAACCTTTAAATCACATTTCACAATTCATTTAGTTTTTAATAAAGGATTGCAATAAGTGAATACAAATCCACAGATTCCAGTGAAGGACACTCGGAGAATAGTTGATATTCTGGACTCTTGGAATAAAGTCTTCAACGAGTGATGCATTAGTTAATTTTATTTCTCGTTGATCAGAGTTGAAACATTAGCCTTAACTCTTACTCTGATAATTCCTTGTTGAGAGGTCAGCTGCCAAAGAGTTTTTTGACTGCCTCTTGCTTGCAACTCTCTAGTCACCAAATATTCAGGAGCATATATAACCTGACGTAACTTTTGCAATGTCAGCAGCAGTATTGTATTAACAGATATACAGAGAAGAAACATAGATGTCTAAGAAAAACTGCAGTTATTTTATATTCTCCATGAACTAGCCTTCAGTGTTGCTCTGATATAATAAACTTGCAGATGTCTTTGATGAGTTCCTAGTGTTTTTGTACTCCCAGAGCCTGGCCTTGGGGCCAGGGTCGTCTGGTAGTACTTGCCTGGTCAACCTGCTGGCCAGCTGCCCCACATATCTATTAAACACAGAGTCCAAATTAATTCAGAACACAAAAATATATCTTAATGTGTTATCTGAGCATTAGAAAGCTTACTTAATATTCCTGTTACACTGTCCACAGCGTGTGAAGATTAATCAGATTTGTTTCCCGGGCTGAAGACCAATAGAAGAATACACATCTACCATAACTTGTACCATAGCTGTTTTCAAGAAATATAGAATAAAATACGGTAATGAAACATCTTTTGGTCAAAGTTCAGTCGCTGTAAATTCCTATAAACTCAAGTTTGGTCGACTACTTTTTATAAACCTCGTGAAAATTACTCACCTCCACTAATACATACTCACCTCCAGTAACACGCATATGCCCGCTGGTGGGTCACGATCCTAGTTTTCAAAGCTCCTCCACACTATCTTTATAACTGTTCCTCGGGCATCCTGTACCCTTCCTTCCATCGTCTCGAAATACATACATAGTTCCCGAAAAGAATACCTGATTGGAACAATACACAAATAACTCGAACATAGGAGAGAAAAATTTATGACGACGTTTCGGACAGAGTTGAACCATTAACTAGTTATGGTTTACGTCGAACCGAAACGTCGTTATAAATTTCTCCCATATGCGGCTTATTTGTGTATGCATAATCCCCATCAACATATCCATCTCGGTTCTAAATACATTAACAAACTATCTTACGATACGTCTTTTGATTTCCTTCGTTATACTTTCCCACAACCTTATCATATTTATCTTCATGCTTCTTTCTCTGTTTGACATTCTGGCTACACTTTAATCCGAGACTCGATATATACAGCATATTCGATCCATTTGCTGCAGCATTCAAAGCAAAATCTTTTAACCAACATCAGTGCAATAGCACCATTTAGTTTTATAATTAGACCTGTCATACCAAGACACGTTTTTTCCATTCCTTTTCTGCGTATGATATTCTCGCCAGTTTGATTTCGGATTCAATAGATATAGAACAATATATTTGCTGCTACAAAGACAAAGATTTAAATAAATATAAATGCCATAACCTTATACTCTGATATATCCTATTTTACATCCACTGATAAGCTTTTTTCTTGCAGCTTTCCTAGAAACCCCAGCAAGTCTTATTTTCCTCAACTAATCTGTGATTTACCTCATCCTTTATACAGCCATCTGCTGACACAGCCAGTCTCAAAGAATCACAACTCATTTACATCCTACAACACTTCATCTTCTCAATTGTCTTCATGTCTTTAATTTCTTAAGCTTCTACTTACTCTCATCACTAAGCTTGTCTGTGTTCATCTCCTATCTTATTTTACTTACCATTAGAGTATATAAATTTGAAAAAATTACCAGCTATCTTAAATGTTCATGAGAATGAAAAAAAATGTAGGCAGAAATACTTCATTTAGTAAGTTAAAATTTACACAGGATTTCGTAGCTGAGAAAGAGAATGATTAGGAAAGTATTCTATGATCATTGCTCTGTGTTTATTTAATAAATAATAATAAATAGTACAAGAATAGTCCATCTGGTAAATTCATTATTTACATTTTACAGTTTTGTCAGAAATATCTTGAACTGATCATGATGATGGACACTGGAGTGATTATTTTGACTCATTAGAGTCACGGAAGTAGTGCCTGGGTCTGGGTGGGGAGTAAACAGGAGCCTCACGAGACTCATGTGAATCAGGGGCAAAGTATCGGGGCCTGGGTGGTGCGTACTCCCTAGACTCATCAGAGTCAGGGTAGCGAGCTTCTCCCTGGTACTGGACATCAGCCACGTAGCCTGAGTCACCGTCCACGAAGTAAGTCACAGTCTGCAGACGACCGTCGGGAAGCTGTACGTAGTACGACCCCTTCGTGTCGTCACCGTTGCGGGTCTCCTGGTGACCGAAGTCGTTGCCGGAGTCTTCGTGTTTCACAGCATAGTTGAAGTTGTACCGAGCCTCACTAGACTCATAGGATTCAGCTGAGAATGCCTTTGAATAATCAAAATAACGGAATGTTATTAATGTCTGTTGAATGAAATGAGTCTTATAATTGCATCTATATATGGCTTGGTATTATAGCTAACATCAATTAGACTTGTTTTCCTAATTTTAATTAGTTTTGACACTGTTATTTATTTCTATTTATGAAGATTTTCTTTGTGACGAACCAGATCCGTGTCTTGCTAGTAGTGATATCAAGAGCTTTAGTTACAATATATAAAGATAACCACTGAGTGATACTCACTCGAGGGGGACCATAAGCGAATCTTTCCCTGCTGTCTGCTGCTGCCACGGCTGCCACCACCAACACCATCAATATCTGTAACATGAATCTATTATCATATATAACCTTCATGTATTTTCACTGATTATCAGTCATATTTGTAATGCAGATAGCTGCCATAGTATAGTGAGAATCTGAGTTACCTTAGTGTTCATGTTGCTTGTTGTGTTGTCACTAGGAACTGACTGAAGGAACTCTTCAGTTGTGTCTTTTATACTGCTTGTAGTTGGCACACACCTCTTTCGAGGCCAAGTTCTGGCTCGGTATTTCCATATGACTTTGCTCAAAGTTTGGCCCTTGAACTGTTCTAGTTATATTAAGATAACGAAATAAAAACATATTTATTTCTGAAGGTTCTCAATTTCATGGAATTCAGCAGCAGACACTGAGAAATACTTGTTACTTGTATGTAATTGCGACTTCGGGTTCTAATAACATTAATAATATGCTATGCATTGTGTGTGTTTAGGTAGGAGTGTATTTATATTGTATTGTTTATGGTATAGGTTATTTTCCCTTCTATAGTTAATGTTAAGTTGTTTATATGTGTTATGCTTATTGCGAGTGTAATGTTTATCCTTTGTGTTATGGTTTATATGTATTTTGGCCTTGGTCACAGTGTATCATATTCTTGTTATGTCGTGTTTTAAATAAAATATATAAAAAAATTGCGACTTGTCGAATGATTCCACTGTTTTGTCATACAAACATGAGTGTTAATAATGCATAAATTATACGTGAGAAATTTATATCATAAATTAAAAACAGTCTCGGGACCACGAACATTCTCAATTCGAATTTACGTTTTTAAGTAACAAACATGAAAACTATTCAATGAAGGTATCCTGTATGGATGCACTCGTGTCCTTACATCCACGAAGCTTATAATTTAATCAGTCATCTCCTAGTAAAAAAATATTATCCCCCAGAATATTTATGGTATACAATATCGACACGTCGATGACCAAAACATAAACACTTGGGTATGTACACTATGAAGACTGTTCTGTTTCTCTAGTTTCAACACCTTCAAATAATCTCTGTAGTGAATTGATAAAAATCACTGGCTGGAGAAACGCTTTCAGAATACTTAGGTGTTACACTTGTGTCTTATTCATCAAAGATATTACGATTCTGTCTCTGTTTACTCTTATATATTTGTACTTCCCTCTGCGCGGGACAAAGGCATATGACGCTGCTGCTTCTGATACATTAACATACGCAGTCTCAGAGCACCAGAATTCATTATATCTGCATGTAAATTGTTGGAGACTTTATAAGAAGAAACTAAGCATCCTTAGCAAGAAATATTTGTTACAGTACTGAAGCAAGTGTTGTAGGACGAGATACTGAGTAAGATTTATTGATGAAGAATCGAACATATATACAACATGTGGGTATCTTTGCTCACGAAATCGTATTGACACGATTGCAAACAAACCATACCACGGGTGGGGTTTGAACCCGAGGTCTGGATATCTTTATTTGTAGACATTGCAACATCAAGTGGCTCTATCAATACAAATTCAAGGACACAATGGGAAGATTGTAGAAGTATATATAAAGACGAGGTAATTAGTCCCTCAGCCTTGGAGTTGAAGATCACCATAGTCTTGACAAGACTGTAGTAGGCTGGCAGGTGTTGTCCCGGCCCGGGTCTTCTCCCGATGGTGACCAGGCGAACTTGACAAGATTTGTTGATACAATGGTAAGTACCGGAAGCTGATGTGAGAGACTTCTCAAACATAATACTATTACAGCTGATCTAATTGCCTTCATAATGAACTATATAGGTTGGTTGGAGGGCTTAAATCCTATCGTCGACACTGGGGTCATTAACGCTACATGTAATCATATGTAATAATGTTAATTGAAATTAATTGATCTGTATATTTCGACTCTATTGTGGAGAGCGAAACGTTGCCACAATAAAATGTCAAATTAGTTGCACTTATTTCCCTTTTGCAAAACACGTAACAATATTACCACCAGACAAGAATATTACCACCAGACAAGAATATTGCCATCAGACAAGAATATTACCACCTGGAGAGTTTACCTGGAGAGAGTTTCGGGGGTCAACGCCCCCGCGGCCCGGTCTGTGACCAGGCCTCCTGGTGGATCAGAGCCTGATCAACCAGGCTGTTGCTGCTGGCTGCACGCAAACCAACGTACGAGCCACAGCCCGGCTGATCAGGAACTGACTTTAGGTGCTTGTCCAGTGCCAGCTTGAAGACTGCCAGGGGTCTGTTGGTAATCCCCCTTATGTGTGCTGGGAGGCAGTTGAACAGTCTCGGCCCCTGACACTTACTGTATGTCTCTTAACGTGCTAGTGACACCCTGCTTTTCATTGGGGGATGGTGCATCGTCTGCCAAGTCTTTTGCTTTCGTAGGGGAGTGATTTTCGTGTGCAAGTTCGGTACTAGTCCCTCTAGGATTTTCCAGGTGTATATAATCATGTATCTCCCTCCTGCGTTCCAGGGAATACAGGTTTAGAAACCTCAAGCGCTCCCAGTAATTGAGGTGTTTTATCTCCGTTATGCGCGCCGTGAAAGTTCTCTGTACATTTTCTAGGTCGGCAATTTCACCTGCCTTGAAAGGTGCTGTTAGAGTGCAGCAATATTCCAGCCTAGATAGAACAAGTGACCTGAAGAGTGTCATCATGGGCTTGCCTCCTAGTTTTGAAGGTTCTCATTATCCATCCTGTCATTTTTCTAGCAGATGTGATTGATACAATGTTATGGTCCTTGAAGGTGAGATCTCCGACATAATCACTCCCAGGTCTTTGACGTTGGTGTTTCGCTCTATTTTGTGGCCAGAATTTGTTTTGTACTCTGATGAAGATTTAATTTCCTCATGTTTACCATATCTGAGTAATTGAAATTTCTCATCGTTGAACTTCATATTGTTTTCTGCAGCCCACTGAAAGATTTGGTTGATGTCCGCCTGGAGCCTTGCAGTGTCTGCAATGGAAGACACTGTCATGCAGATTCGGGTGTCATCTGCAAAGGAAGACACGGTGCTGTGGCAAGAATATTACCACCAGACAAGAATATTACCACCAGACAAGAATATTACCACCAGACAAGAATATTACCACCAGACAAGAATATTACCACCAGACAAGAATATTACCACCAGACAAGAATATTACCACCAGACAAGAATATTACCACCAGACAAGAATATTACCACCAGACAAGAATATTACCACCAGACAAGAATATTACCACCAGACAAGAATATTACCACCAGACAAGAATATTACCACCAGACAAGAATATTACCACCAGACAAGAATATTACCACCAGACAAGAATATTACCACCAGACAAGAATATTACCACCAGACAAGAATATTATCACCAGACAAGAATATTACCACCAGACAAGAATATTACCACCAGACAAGAATGTTACCACCAGACAAGAATATTACCACCAGACAAGAATATTACCACCAGACAAGAATATTACCACCAGACAAGAATATTACCACCAGACAAGAATATTACCACCAGACAAGAATATTACCACCAGACAAGAATATTACCACCAGACAAGAATATTACCACCAGACAAGAATATTACCACCAGTCAAGAATATTACCACCAGACAAGAATATTACCACCAGACAAGAATATTACCACCAGACAAGAATATTACCACCAGACAAGAATATTACCACCAGACAAGAATATTATCACCAGACAAGAATATTACCACCAGACAAGAATATTACCACCAGACAAGAATGTTACCACCAGACAAGAATATTACCACCAGACAAGAATATTACCACCAGACAAGAATATTACCACCAGACAAGAATATTACCACCAGACAAGAATATTACCACCAGACAAGAATATTACCACCAGACAAGAATATTACCACCAGACAAGAATATTACCACCAGACAAGAATATTACCACCAGACAAGAATATTACCACCAGACAAGAATATTACCACCAGACAAGAATATTACCACCAGACAAGAATATTACCACCAGACAAGAATATTACCACCAGACAAGAATATTACCACCAGACAAGAATATTACCACCAGACAAGAATATTCCCACCAGACAAGAATATTACCACCAGACAAGAATATTACCATCAGACAAGAATATTACCACCAGACAAGAATATTACCACCAGACAAGAATTTTTACCACCAGACAAGAATATTACCACCAGACAAGAATATTACCACCAGACAAGAATATTACCACCAGACAAGAATATTACCATCAGACAAGAATATTACCACCAGACAAGAATATTACCACCAGACAAGAATATTACCACCAGACAAGAATATTACCACCAGACAAGAATATTACCACCAGACAAGAATATTACCACCAGACAAGAATATTACCACCAGACAAGAATATTACCACAGACAAGAATATTACCACCAGACAAGAATATTACCACCAGACAAGAATATTACCACCAGACAAGAATATTACCACCAGACAAGAATATTACCATCAGACAAGAATATTACCACCAGACAAGAATATTACCACCAGACAAGAATATTACCACCAGACAAGAATATTACCACCAGACAAGAATATTACCACCAGACAAGAATATTACCACCAGACAAGAATATTACCATCAGACAAGAATATTACCACCAGACAAGAATATTACCACCAGACAAGAATATTACCACCAGACAAGAATATTACCACCAGACAAGAATATTACCACAGACAAGAATATTACCACCAGACAAGAATATTACCACCAGACCAAGAATATTACCACCAGACAAGATATTACCACCAGACAAGAATATTACCACCAGACAAGAATATTACCACCAGACAAGAATATTACCACCAGACAAGAATATTACCATCAGACAAGAATATTACCACCAGACAAGAATATTACCACCAGACAAGAATATTACCACCAGACAAGAATATTACCACCAGACAAGAATATTACCACCAGACAAGAATATTACCACCAGACAAGAATATTACCATCAGACAAGAATATTACCACCAGACAAGAATATTACCACCAGACAAGAATATTACCACCAGACAAGAATATTACCACCAGACAAGAATATTACCACCAGACAAGAATATTACCACCAGACAAGAATATTACCACCAGACAAGAATATTACCACCAGACAAGAATATTACCACCAGACAAGAATATTACCACCAGACAAGAATATTACCACCAGACAAGAATATTACCACCAGACAAGAATATTACCATCAGACAAGAATATTACCACCAGACAAGAATATTACCACCAGACAAGAATATTACCACCAGACAAGAAATTCCCACCAGACAAGAATATTACCACCAGACAAGAATATTACCACCAGACAAGAATATTACCACCAGACAAGAATATTACCACCAGACAAGAATATTACCACCAGACAAAAATATTACCACCAGACAAGAATATTACCACCAGACAAGAATATTACCACCAGACAAGAATATTACCACCAGACAAGAATATTACCACCAGACAAGAATATTACCACCAGACAAGAATATTACCACCAGACAAGAATATTACCACCAGACAAGAATATTACCACCAGACAAGAATATTACCACCAGACAAGAATATTACCACCAGACAAGAATATTACCACCAGACAAGAATATTACCACCAGACAAAAATATTACCACCAGACAAGAATATTACCACCAGACAAGAATATTACCACCAGACAAGAATATTACCACCAGACAAGAATATTACCACCAGACAAGAATATTACCACCAGACAAGAATATTACCACCAGACAGAATATTACCACCAGACAAGAATATTACCACCAGACAAGAATATTACCACCAGACAAGAATATTACCATCAGACAAGAATATTACCACCAGACAAGAATATTACCACCAGACAAGAATATTACCACCAGACAAGAATATTACCACCAGACAAGAATATTACCACCAGACAAGAATATTACCACCAGACAAGAATATTACCACCAGACAAGAATATTACCATCAGACAAGAATATTACCACCAGACAAGAATATTACCACCAGACAAGAATATTACCACCAGACAAGAATATTACCACCAGACAAGAATATTACCACCAGACAAGAATAACCTTCTATAATTGTAATCGTAGAGAAATGTGACAGCAATTTATTCTGTCTCGGCTGCCTAGTTACTGCTAGGAAAACATGGGCAGCTGGTGTAAAGGTGACTAACACCCAGGTTCCTATTTACTGCTAGGTGAACATGGACGGCAGGTGTAAAGGGGACTAACACCCAGGTAACTGTTTACTGCTAGGTGAACATGGACAGCAAGTTGAAGGGGGCTAACAACCAGGTACCTGTTTACTGCTAGGTGAACCTGGATGTCAGGTGTAAAGAAGACTAACATCGAGGTACCTATTTCCTGCTAGGTGAGCATTGACAGCTAGTTAAAGGGGCCTAACAACCAAGTACCTATTTACTGCTAAGTGAACATGGACGGCAGGTATAAAGGGGTGTAACACCCAAGTACCTATTTACTGCTAGGTGAACAGGGGCAAAAGGTATAAGGAGATTTGCCCATAGGTCTCGTCGCACCCGAGAATCTAACCTGGGTCCTTTCGGCTGTGAGCTTCAAGGTCTCTGATTCCTTTTCGAAGCTCTGATTAACGCGAGTGAAATTTAACAATGGAACTTAGACCTTAAAGAAAAAAAAAATTATCTTCATTCTACCCTGGACACTCGCAATTGAAAATCTCGGCCACATAATCACATATGGAGTGGGTGTGGCACGTTTCTGCCCTTCACGTTTCCTCCCGGAAATGCTCTGCATAACCACGGTTGGCTTGTTGGTCAAGTGGGTTTGAAGCCTATCTAGTTCACGAGGGTCATTAAGGCTGCAGGTCACCTGTACACCACCAGTCAAGAATACTTTAATACTGAAAATAGTGATCAATATAAATTCTCAGTGTATATATGTACACCGAGGGATGTATATGTCTCCGTGTGTGTGTATATATGTATACCTCTCGGTGTATATACATTAAGAGCTACTCACCCTTCAGTGTATATACAATGAGAGACGTGCATCTCTCAGTGTATATATGTATATATGTTTATATGGTTGTGATACTTAAAGATACTTTGAAGGTAACTGTGTCTTATACAAATTCACGGACAATAACTGCGCTACTTAAAAAAGAGAAATGAATTTTTGGGGAGTAGGGTAGACCGTAAGAAGAATGGCAGGAATTATTTAGGTATGGAATAGGGAGGGACAGAGTATAAATATGGGGAAAGAAGAAAATGTAATGAATTTAGGACATGTATAATGGGATACTTTCTGTCCCGAGAGCTTGATCACAACACAGTATGTGGGGGGTAACAGTCGGTATCACATTTATTGATATTCACTAAAAGGATAATGACTGTGAAGGATTAGGGAAGGATAGAGTGTAAGAAAGATGGCATGGGATGTGGAATGATATAGCAGTGGAAAAAAAAAACTGGCTGTGGGTGGAATGTTGTTAAGGAATCACGTTTTAATATGTAATAATTTTTTATGGAGTCTGACGTCGGTGTTGGCTCACTGGAAACTGAAAACTGGGAGAATATATTTCAGCATGATATGATCTGTGGGCGTGGCACTGTGGTCATGACACTAGTGTCTGTGAGCCTGCATTAGTAAATATGAGTAAGGAACAAGTATCTATGGAGAATGACAGTAATATCTGTGATCCTGGTACCAGTATCTGTGGGTATGACAGAAATATCTGTGGGAATGACGCTAGTATCTGTTGGCATGATACCTAGTAGTACCAATGGGCATGGCACTATCTGTGGTAGCTGCGCAAGTATCTGTGGGCGTGGCACCCACAAATAGGCGTATCCTCGTCATAGAGAAAGTCCCAAACATTGCAATCTCTGCAACAACATGTCACGAACACGGTGGAAGGAGACCGACCGTCAAGGTATTGAAAACTGCAACACACACATTCTTTGACCTTATTCAGCATATATTTCACGAATAAAAGCAAATCTTTGGCATTAAGATCTCTTTCAGTGGGTGTGAACTGCACCTACCCGACCTGTTTTCTGGGATCGAACTTGTTTTGCTTCCGTTTCTCAAGCGCTGAATTAAGAATGCCAAGGGGATGTCTCAAGAATGTTACGAGAATATCATAAGAAGCTGCAAGAATCCCATTAGACATCCCTTAGACGCATCTGAGATTAATTCATAACATTCTAGACTCTAGAGAGAGGAACAACCACGTCCCTTGAGATTCTAAATTAGTTCTTCAATATTTAATGACTTGGAGAGTCGTGTTATATTTCTATATGTCTGTTGAGGTCGTAGCAATTACTTGTTGACATGTACTAGAAGGGACCAATAGACAAGGTCATGTCTTGAGGGTCACAGAGACGAGGTTAAGGCAACTAGAGTCAAGGTCATACTGGAGCCACAAGGATATGACAAGGGTAGCTGGGAACAACGTCAATGGGTCACAGAGGTGAAGTCAGCACAGCACCCAGCAGAAAAAGTGAGGATATCCACATGGGCGACCTTATTTTTGCTGGGTTCATGAGGCAAGGTTGCACGCATGACGCGATCATGGGTGGCGAACGAGGGCGGTACACAAGCTACCCTCTTCCTTGAAGAACAAAATCACAACACCGTGACTGGAAAAATACACAAATAAACCTCACATACGAGAGTGAAGCTTATGACAACGTTTCAGTGTAACTTATAAATGATCTAAGTCGGACGGAAACCCACACCTGGGCAGGGAACGAGGAAAAATACTCAAGAATGCCCTTGTAAACATGGCATAGAAAACGAGAAATAACTTTTGTTTACATTGCGAGATTTACGACGCATATGTTTTTTTTACACAATATCCTCGAGATATCGCAAACATGCGTCTCATCTCGTGCTTCCCTAAGTAACCACGCACCAAACAATATCCAGATGCCCCTACAAATACTATTTCCCGTCTCTCTCTACGTTAATAGGGGTTACGGTGCAGCACACAAACTAGGCCACATTGCAAAACACTTAGTATCAATTCTGACCCTAAGGGAAGGTCAGTCTTTGGCTGACCTTTAGAATGGAGAAATGAAAAGCGCTCCCGATAAGCGATTTCACTGGATTATCGTTTTTTATATTTGCATGAACGGCGATAAAAATATTTTGGCCGAGTCTCGCTATGTTTCTCATACAGGTAGTGGGAGACCTGGATTTTTGGGGCCCTGAAGCTTGAACTGTTATGGGGGCCCCTTCGCAACCCCTTCTCATACAGTAGGCCCAAAATTTATAAGCAATGTGGACTAAAGTGGCTTCTGGGGCCCCTTCGGGAAGTGGGTGAAGTGGTAAGCCAGTGGAAGGCTCCGGTCAGATGACCAAAAGCTTCAGCTGTGGGTCATCATATGACTAAGACCCGCGTCAGGAAACACTTGTCCTGTGTCCTGACTAACCTAACCTAACCTAACCTAACCTAACCTAACCTAACCTGACAAAGCTAACCTAACCTAACCTAACCTAACCTAACCTAACCTAACCTAACCTAACTTAACCTAACCTAACCTAACCTAACCTGACAAACCTAACCTAACCTAACCTAACCTAACCTAACCTAACCTAACCTAACTTAACTTTATTCGCTACTTAAGGGACTGAAGTATTCTTGTCAGGTGGTTACGTGTAGACTTAATTAATGACCCTCGTATAGTAGATAAGCTTTAAATCCATTAACTAGCCAACCATAGGGTAACTAAACTATATCTGTTGTGGCATTATATCTTTAGAAAAGGGCAAATGTACAATTAATGATGCCTTTTATTGTGGCAACGTTTCGCTCTGCAGGAGCTTTGTCAAACTGCTACGGCTTGACGAAAACTCCTGGAGAACGAAACGTTGCCACAATAAAATCACTCTTTAACTGCCAGTATATTCATTTACCTAACATATTGTCAGTAATTCTACCAACATTATTACACATATATTATCACGGCAACCTATGGTTTTGGTGAGCGCCCTTTTGGCTGGGTCCTCGTCCGTATCTCTCTCCCGCATCCGCTCAGCGGGACGCAAACAATACCGAGAAGTAACACAGAGAACATTTCGCTCGTAAATGAGTTAAATGTTGTCTTGAGCCCGTCATTCATTATATAACGTTCTCTCTCTCTTTTCTGACCTGTAATATTATCTTGTAAACATTACTCTTGACAATGCTTACGGGAAAACCAGCCTTCCTTTCTCGGTAATAATTTTCGCCTCTGGTCAGTGACCGGGGCCACGATTATCAGACCGGAGGATCGAACTTGCGCCACTCCTCCCCGTCACGTCAATTGAGCACAAGAGCCGAGTTTTTTCCCATTTTTTTAGGGTAACAAACACAGGATTATATTTAATGGGGAATTGGTAACCCCGTTTGAAATGGGAGATAAGAAATGGGATATAATTAGAGTCGATGCAGGAATGGGGAAAAATAGGTACCAATCCTTCCATCAAGACCCCCTTCCCGTCATTAGCATCAGGGAAGCTTCCTTGAGCAGGAGCAGAACTAATGAAGCTTAAGCTTGAGGGCCCCTAATCCCGGAGGGGCCCTAGAAGCGACTTTAGTCCACATTTCTTAAAAATTTGAATTTTTTTAATAATATTATTAATAATATAGTACAATTCAATAAAAATTAATAGGTAAAATAAAAATTAAAGATTATTTAAAGTATCATGTAGGCCTAGCGGTTGCTGGTTTCCATGGAAACCCCATAACAGCTCAAACTTCAGCGCCCCAAAAATGTAGGTCCGCCAGTGTCCTTAAGATCTAGAGATGTTGAAGTGAGATGGAGTTGTCGCTCAGCTTTTCCCTGAAAACACTCACAAAATACCATAAACCTTTGAGTGTGTGAACCATACCACGGGCGGGGATTGAACCCGCGATCAGAGAGTCATAAAACTCCAAACCGACGCTCTAGCCACTGGACCAGCTGACTACAATGAAATTCATCCAACTAGATATATTTATACACCATAGGAAGGTTAGCATGGGCCACCACTGTGGCCACAAATGCAAGATTTTAAAAACGAATCTCTCGCCAGCGTGGCCGTGACGAACTCTAGCTCAAGTTCCCTCAAAGCCATTATTATGATTTCGTGAGTGAGAGTATGATAGCGGTATTCAGTACCGCCACGTTGAGTAAGATACCTGCCTCGCATGGACCAGTAGGCCTGCTGCAGTGTTCCTTCTTTCTTAGGTTCTTACACATGTACAACAGTTAGATGTCTTTATTCTGAAAGGTTTCGACTGCAGAGTAGACTTCTTCAGTCAAATACAGATGTAAAGACGATGTAATTAGTTAAGCTTCTAATGCATCCTCTGTACTTCGGAATAAAGATACCTGACTGTTGCACAGGTGTCTTTCTTATCAACACAAGCCTTTAGTAAAACCAAATAACTTTTTTTAATAAAAAAAAGGGCATTTCCGAATACTATTGGCTGTCGAAAGGTTATACGAATGTTACATTCAAACTCACTTGATTTATGCACCTACGTTCCTTAGGCTCACGAAGACACGAATACACGAAGACACGAATACACGAAGACACCAAGACACGAAGACATGAAGATACACTTAGGTTGAAGCTGCAATACAATAATCTTATTTTTTAAAGTGATGAAGGGGTAAGCCAGTAGAAGGCTTCGGTCAGATGACCCGAAGCGGTTCGTCATATGACCAAGAGCTGTGCCAGGAAACACTTGTCCTGTTTGATGACCAAGCTTACCTAACCTGGTCCTTTTAACGTGAAAAAGAAGTCACCAGGACCCTGAACAGGTGTTTACGGTAGTCTGGTAAATCACTACTAAAGCATTACAAGAAACAGTAAGTTACTTTGACTTTTTTGGGTTGTCCTGGTGGATAATCTACACATATGTTGCTATGTATGATAATATGTAACTGTATTTATATATGCTTGTATCTGCCAGTAACTTACTTTGAATATAATAAAAGTCCCAGTGGTGTGTTTACGTTGGCTCTCTCTCTCTCTCTCTCTCTGACATAGAGGCTCCTGTTGACCTTCTTAACGACAGTCATTGGTGTTAGTGAGATGAAACACCTAGCAAGAGCAAGGTTGTGGAGGCAGGATGCAGAGATGGTATCACAACAATACAATTCAAGGTTCAATTACATACAGCTGATGTTCAGCTTGTGTGTGTGTGTGTGTATAAGTGACCTCTTATCATTGCTGCACATACTTATAAAAACTCGTCCAGGGGAGACACACCCTTGCTGTGTACTTACCAGGGTGGTAGGGTGGTAGGGAGGGTAGGGACAGCAAGACAGGAAGAGGTAAAGGGAGGATAGGACGGGATGAGAGAGACTAGCTCCTGGGGTGAGGCATCTTGAGGCGAAACTGGATTGTCTTCTTGTACAAGATTTATTATTGAACAAGGTCGCCTTGGAGCTAAATTGTCCGTAGCATCTGCGGGTGTGTATGTGTATTTATTATTATTATTACTACTAGTAATAGTAAGAGTTACCTTACTGAAACAAGAGAAGCCAAGAACACTGGAGGAACGACCATGATTAACATAGCCCACACATAATGATAAGATTCCTTAGTTACATCCTTCCAACACACAGCACCAGACACCACATTGGCTCCATAATACACTTGTCAGTCCGCCACTTGAAAGTGTCGTCCACTTTTGGTCTCCAAGTTGCATAAAGAACAAAGATACACTGAGAAGGCACAGAAAGGGGCCAACCAAACTCGTACCGTCACTCTAAGAATCCTATCTTTTCCCTCTTATAATAATAATAATAATAATAATAATAATAATAATAATAATAATAATAATAATAATAATAATAATAATAATAATAATAATCTTTATTTCTACCAGTACATGTACAAGGTATACAGACCATAGCTGACATCAATGACATACTACTATATAGAAAGTTCCTTGTTATGCTGAGCATTTCCCACAAATTAGGTCAGTTTTGTCCCCAGTCAACTAACACCCAGATACCTATTTTCCTGCTAGGTGAACATGGGCAGCCGGTGTCTTAAGGAAACACGTCCTAATGTTTCCACCCGTACTGAGGATCGAACCACATACCTCAGTGTGTGAGATGAATGCGCTACCAACCCAATTACGGGAAACGGAGACCACGAGATCAAACATTCAGATCCTTATCATACCAA